AAGAAGAGAAGCAGGGATCAGCGGAAATGGAATGCAATCGGAATGCAATCGGGCTACAAGGGGCCAGATAAATACCTGTTTTGTGTAACTATAGCTGTAACATGATACACTGTAATACAATCCTATTATATAACCCCATAGCAAATATCTCCTCCTTTTTAATTCCAATTCCAACACCAATTCAATTCCATTCCAATTCTAACACCATTTCCAATTCCAATTCCAATTCCAACACCAATTTCAATTCAATTCCAATTCCAATTCCAATTCCAATCCTAATCCTAATCTTAATCCCAGCCAGCGAGCCAGCGAGCCAGCCTCCTCCTCCTCCTCCTCCTCTTCCAACTGCCCCGCGCTTGGAAACATGGGTCTTGATAGCTGTTAGATGGTAGCTGTATACACATCCATACATCCATCTATCCATCCATCCATCCATCCATCCATCCATCCATCCATCCATCCATCCATCCATTCATACATACATACATGTTGCGCGCGCTGCCTGCTGGTGATTATACTTAGAGAAGGGGAAGGGGAAAGGGAGGGAGTATACGTGATGTGATTTGATGTGATGTGATATGATGTGATGTGATGTGATATTCAATGGAAAGATAAGGAAAAGATAAGAAAAGAAAGGAGAGAAAGGAGAAAGGAGAGAGGATAGGAATGGGAGCTTTAGTTATTGAATTAATAAGATGTGTGTGTGTGTGAGAGAGAGAGAGACAGAGAGATGAAAAGATGAAAAGAAACAGATTTGGTTGTTTGGTTGTTTTGATTTCATTACCTGCTTTATGCATACCCGGCTGGATATAAGAGGAGATTCTCGTGAACGTACGTGCACGGACGCTAGCATATACATGTACGTCGTCTCACTCAGATCCGGTAGCTGATACAAGATGCAAGGCTGGCAACTCATCTTCAACCGGCTTCACACCGGCCCTCTGCATCTCCAGCGCAACCCGATCCACCTCGGCCCAAAGCCGCAACACGTTCCCTCCGACCACCATGGCCGCATCGGTATCGCTCACGCCGCGCCTCAGCATCTCCGCCAGCAGATCCGGGTACTTACTCACGTCCTCCAGGCCCCGCGGCGTGTTCAGGATGCCGTCGAAATCGCTGCCCAGCCCGACGTGCTCGTAGCCGATCAGGTCGCCGATGTGCATGATGTGCGACACGACGTGGGCCAGCGTGGAGTTCGGTGCGTAGAAGGACGGCAGGCCGGTCGGGTCGGATGGGTTGGCCACGCAGGAGACAAAGTCGGGGGAGAAGTTCACCATGACGAGGGAGTTGCGCTGCTGGACGAGGTGGAGGATCGAGTCCGGCACGTTGCGGGGGTGGGGGCAGAGTGCATGGGCGGAGGAGTGCGAGAAGATGACGGGCGCGGAGCTGCCGGGCCAGGTCGACGCGGAGGGGGAGGAGCCGCCGAGGACGTCGCGCATGGTGTCCGGGGAGACGTGCGAGAGGTCGATGATCATGCCCAGGCGGTTCATCTCATGGATTAGGAGGCGGCCGGCGGGCGAGACGCCGTGGTGGAGGGGTGTGGAGGGGATGACGCCGGTGGGTGTTTCGAGCAGGGCGGCGTCCGCGTACATGTTGTGGCAGTTATGGGTTAGTGTTGCGTAGCGGGCGCCCAAGGCGTAGCTGATGATGGGCTCGAATCAGTGTTTGTTTGTTTGTTTGTTTGCTTGTTTGCCGAGGGTTGAAGTTGGTGGACGGAGAGAGAGAGTGTGTGGGTTTGAGGGGACGAGTGATGGTTGGGCTCTAGACCTACTAGTTGCGCAGATTGGAAAGCGAGTTGCCGATTTGGTGGAGGCCTTCGATGGCGAGAGGGGAGATGAGTTGATGGGACTTGAAGGCTGAGAGAGCGGTGCTGCTGTTGGGTGGTGGCGAGAAGACGTCGGGGTAGGCGCCTCGAAGACGGGTAAGGACGTCGATTTGTGAGTACGTGAAGGCGACAGCTGGGACGAGTCAGTTTCACTTGCACTTTCGGTCCCAACATCTTTGTTTACTTGGTCACGTGCGGGCTCGGAGCAGGAAGGGGTCATCGGTCATCGGCCGGCCGGAGGGAGCATGACTTACTCTCCGCATAGTTCTCATCAGAAAAGTCCGTCCCGTTCTTCGGGCATGGAGCATATGCACTCCAAAAAGCCCCTCCATTCTTACCTTCCTTTAGCCGAGGAAGGTCAACATGGCCGTACATGCCACCCTCCACGAAGGGCTTCGTGAAGTTGGAGTCGTAGATCTTGTTCTTGTGTAAGAATCGGATCAGGATCGCAAGATCATTGTGGCCATCTGCACACGATGGCATTAACACCGATGTATTATCTGGCTGGAAGGCAATGCTTAGGTACTTACCAATGAGTGGCGTCTCCTCCAGTATCCGGTCGACTCTCTGGCTGATCGTCGTGGGCACCGGTGATCTTGGATCTTCTCTACTCCCCGAAGGCAAGAAGAGTATCGTAGCCAAGCTGAGCATAATGCATGTTCCAAGTACTATAGCCCCAACATCGTTGAAGATGGATCTCCGGCGCGGCTCATCTCCCAGCACCACCACCTCCTTGCCGTGTTCCGTATCGTTGAAGCTCCCCGTCCTCGAGTTATGAGCCACAGACGACCGCTGCTCGATATCCCCGGGCAGCAGTAAATCCTGCTCGGTTGGGGTGTCAGCACCCATACTAAATAAGTAATCGCAAATAACAAGCAATGCAGATCGAACCAATGCATCCAGAGACAAGATGTTGGTTGGCTTGTTTGCTTGTTCATTCCAAGCCCAAGCCCGACCGAGCGTGCTTGGACGTTGCACTCGTTTGACCTTGATGAGGTCGGTCGCAGCAGGTCACATGATCCCCCAGCCACGTGCCGTGTGCTATTTGCGGCCACGACGGGGATCGGCCGCTTGTTGCTGCGAGATTCCCTGCCCGGGGAGATTTGATCTCGACCCATTTCACCTCCAATACCACCACCCGACCTGGATGCCCTCACTTTCTGTTCTCTCCTTTATTGATGCCGCTGCCCTCTCTCACTCCGGGTAGCATTTCTTTACGACGACGACCATCACGACGACGAGCTCAACAGCAGCTGCAAGACCACCAACCGCGGCAGGGATCCAGCTACAGAAGCGCTGGGAGGGAGGAACCACGAATAGGAGTACCGACTGAACAAGCCTGACCTACCGACCTACCTGCCGACCTACCTACCTACATATCCCCAGGAGAATCATCGCAGCCGCACGCCGCTCCCACCACAGTCACTCATCACAATCAATACCTTCCCAGGCTCACCACAGAATCCCCGTGAGGTTCTCCCCGCGGCGCAGAAGTGATCTTTCAGCAAGCCCCTAATACCGTCGCCGCGATACCGAAACCACCATGCCCGGATTCGCGGACTCCTTCTGGTCTGGGGACTATGCCGGAGGTAAGGACAACGGTGGCCGAGGATACGGCCACAGTTACTGATGGGACTACAGGACTCGGCGTTCTCTTCAGCAAGCTCCAACAGGGTGTGCAAGAGAACCAGCAGATTCTCATGATTGCGCGGATGCGAGCGGAGGCGGAAGACCTGTACGGAATGAAGCTGGGCGAGATTGAGATTGCCTCAGACAGAGTGAGCGGCGGCTTCTCACGAGATGACGGAGCGAGTGTCAAGAAGGTAGGCAAGACTGCTCGGCGGGTGTTCGTACGAGCCGGCTGCTAACTGCTCCAGGCCTACGATGGGGTACGCTCGGAGATGCAGGAGGCGGCCAAGAGCCATCGGAAAATTGCCCAAAGCATCCGAGATCTCGTCGTGTCCCCTTTTACCAGGTGGTGCGATGCTCACGAGTCGCGAGTTCAGAATTCCCAAGACGATTTGCAGGCTCGGATAAAGCTGCATGACAAGCAGGCGGACTTGGTGAAGAAGCTCCGCAGCCACTACTTCAACAAGTGCCGCTTGGTGGAGGATATTGAAGAGGAGAACAAGCTTGCCTTCCAGGACCCGGAGACGAGCCCGCAGGCGAAGATACCCGAGATCAAGGTGGAGGAGAACCAGGACGAGGACGAGGAGCAGATCGATATTGGGGACGAAATCTACCAGCCAGAGCAGCTCAAGAAGATCCTGACGCACATCCTGCAGACGGTCAAGCTGGGCGAGACGAAGGTGCCGATTCTGGGCACGTACCAGAACACGACGACGGGAGCCGACATCGTGGAGTATCTGCAGAAGAACATGGGCGCAACCAGTGTCAGCCATGCCGAGCGCATCGGACAAGACCTGATCACCAACGGCTTCCTGCGACTGGTTGGAAATGTCGGAAGCGTTTTTGCCAACAGCTCCAAGATGAACTATCAGTGGAAGCCAAAGGCTTTCCAGTGGACCGGAATTCCGGAAAAGAAACTGCCCCTGGGTCGCACTTTCTCGATCGCTTCCAACTCCGATTACGCCGACTCTCCGGTGGTGGGCACTGTCACCGAGTACTTGGCTGGATGGAACCCTCTGAATAATCCATACCCCAACGAAACACCAGGCGACAAACTCAGACGAGAGGCTGCAGAGGCGGATGAGAGATACAGGAGCAGTGTCCGAAAGCTGGATCTCCTTCGGTGCCAACTCGAGGAAGCTATCGTCGAGCACCTGCGGTACTTGGAGAGATGCGAGCTGGACCGGCTGAAGGCCATCAAGACCATCATCCTGGATTTTTCCGGCACCATCAGCAATGTCATCCCTAGTCTGCAATCGACGGTTGACAAGATGATGCTCTACCAGGAGACGATCCAACCGATCGGCGATCTCAGATACCTCCTGGAGAACTACCGCACCGGAGGATTCGTGCCCAAGGTCGTGGTCTATGAAAACTACTACAACTCGGCCGACGGACAGACGTTTGGTGTGGACCTCGAGGCCCGTGCTAGAGCTGATCGCAAGAGGGTCCCAATCATTATCACCAACATCCTCACATTCCTCGACAACCGGTACCCCGATCTGGAAGGCGATGAGGCTAGACGAAGTGTGTGGCTGGTTCATGTACCCCTTCATCAGACACACCGACTGCGCGAAGCTCTCAACACCGGAAAGCCGTTTTCCATGGAGGCTCTGGAGCCCTACGACATCCCCATTATTGCGAGCCTCCTTAGACTGTACTTACTTGAACTCCCAGGTATGCTCCCTCTTCCCTTCCCGCAATATCCGCTAACACAGACAGACTCCTTGGTCTCTTCTCACGTTTACGAAATTATGAAAACAATCTATTCGACCCCGGCGTCCGAGTCTACAGACGCGGCCCGTATCTCCGTCCTGCAAAACACCCTCAGCCAGCTCCGGCTCGCAAATATCGCGACCCTTGACGCCCTAATGACCCACTTCACCCGCCTCATCGAGCTCACTTCCGCCGACGAAACCTACATCGCAGCTCTCGCTACCTCCTTGGCACCTTGTATCCTCCGGCCCCGTACCGAAACTTCCATGACCATGGAGGAGAGGTACTCCTACCGCCTCATTCGCGACCTCTTCTCCCACAAACACGCCATCTTCAATGAACTCAAGCGCGCATCCTCCCTGTCCCACACCATTAGCGTTGATACCCGTCCAAGATCCGTCAGCGCCGTCAGTACTGACGAGAGCAACCGCAAAGCCAATATGGAAGCTCGTGCGAGAGCCATCATCGCTGCTGGTGGCACGAACCGTGGACGTGACAAGAGTCCGGCACCTTCCCCCAGGGGTCACCGTAGAGACCGGAGCTCGGGTGGTCCAGAGACTCGCTTTCCGATCGCTTCTCCTACCGCTGCCCATACCGACTCTCCACGCAACTCACGCACCAGCACAGGCGTACGATCGAGTCTTGAAGTCCCTGGTGAATCTGCGCCTGTCATCCCAGCTGAGACGAACGGCACTCCCGACTCTCCGCTAAAGACTATCACGAATGGAGCAGAGAACCACCCGACTGGCGCGACGTATGTCCCTAGCTTGGATGATGGTTTGGATGGGCTGGGCGCTGGTGTCGAGAAGCGGAATTCGCTGGGGAGAGCGCCGGCTGCGGGGGCAACTGGAAGGTTTGCGGGAAGGAGACCGATGGGGCTCTCGAGGATGGGTGTTGATGACAACAAGCGGAGCAGTGTAGTAAGTATTGGGGAGGACGGTGCCAGAGTTGGGGTGAGTCTGACGGACAAGGCTATGGACGACTAGGTCGTCAACTTTCGCATTTACCTCACAAGTGTGTGCCGAAGCAGTAATACCTGAAGAGGTTTGGCCAAGAGAGGAGGGGCAACGACGGGGCTCAGAGAATTGTGCTGCGGAATGGGAAAAAGATGATGCATGAAGGCGGGCAAGCTTCTTATGTATGTACGTCTGTATAATAGGACCTAGGGCCACCGAACTGTTCTTGCTCTAAACATGTTTTAGTTGGAGGTATGTAGCGATATACGAGAATGAATGAATGAATTAATGAATGGTGCACACGATACCCATCCCATGTGCCAGACTTTTTTGCCTTTTTTTTTTCACCACTACCCCCCCCCCCCCTCCTCTCTCTCTCTCTACTAT